GAAAGATCTAATTAGATTTCTGGTGCCGCGGACACGTGTATGTCGAAGGTCACCTTATCGCGGGATGGTTGAGGCATGTCGAGACAGCTTTCATCGTGTTGGGATCCGTTTGCTCACCTCTGAAGGCAAGAGAGAAGAGGGATGGCCACTCAACCAAGCTTCAAAGTATCCGCGGCTTTTGGCCGCATTTAAACGAGGATGTCTGCTCTTTGTACCGATCGACATGGAGCTTCAAAGAAATATTTAAGCTCGGCCTGTAAGAGATCATTTCCTGCTCGTTGAGAGAAACAGAGAAAAGAGAGGGAGATTAATGAGTTTAGCAAACTCTACTTCTTGCAAAACGTGATCATTGACTGTGATGTTTATGGATTTAAATGCAGTTCATCTTTCGCGCACTCTTGTACGTTCTTTTAATTGTTTGGACAAATCTTTACGTGTTTTTCCGACGATGCAGTTGTTTGTATAATAATTCCACAAACTTCTTAGAAATAGTAAAATAATGAATGTAACATAAATATTCAAAAATTTTTCAAGAAACTTCAGAGTTTATATCAGTCACAATATATCAATTTTATTTTTATATTTTTCTCTATATAAGTGTGTTGTCGTATCTCACGTGTCTCTATACATAACAATTCGACGCGTTGTAATCAAGATCTTGCGCGCGACAGCAAACTTGATTTGGTGCATTATACATGGTGTACGCATCAGTCTAATAATAGATGTATCCCGTCGATAAATTCGAACTGATAAACAACCACCCACCCAACGCGCGCACTTCATGCTTCGGCATGCCGAGGTCTGGTAGAACGTAATTTTCAATGCAGAATTCTCGGAACGCAATGCGTTATTTTGGCGGAAAACAACAAATAGAAAATAAAATTCATGCTTTTCTCAAATTGTTTATGTTAGCGCAATTTTTCGGGGAACGACGAATGATGTTTGAAGTTCAGCTGTATTTTATGTATTTCGGGCCGAAATTAGACAGAACAAAGATGGAAATAGTTTTTATTTTTTGTTTATCTTGTATTTTTTCGCATATAAATTTGATTAAAATCAACATAATATAATTTCGGTCATTTTATAGCTTTTAGTATTTAATATATAACACAAATTATATATTAATTTTAAATTACCATATTTTTGCTTAAAAGATCTATTAGCTAAGAAAATATGATTGTTATATTGTCAAAGATGTAATATCAATATATATCCTCATACATATTATTCTTTGACGACATATTATTAAACAAAACTGATGTTGAATAGAAGCAGCTACGTTTCTGCATGTGCTAACAATAACCATAGTTTCTTACATTCGAAAGAGACAAAGGGTAATGAGGCTGTTGTACTTATGTAGGCAGCTTTGCGTTCGTATGAGCATGCCGGGTAATTAGAAGGCCCAATTCGCAGAGTTGGACGTTGTATTAGGATTCATTTAGATCCTATTAAACACGAGAGCGCATACGGAATAATATCAAATAATAATATCCGTAAACAAGAACAGTATCATTAAAATAATAGGTTTATATTCTGTTCATTTACCGCACGATTTACTTTGATCAAAATTTTTGTTTTATTCACATGTCTAAGTGCGTGCACGGATAATTTATAAAATGTCGTCTTTAGCATTCTTTATAACAGTCGATATGTGTCGTTGTACACGCTATAGATATTATCGAATGGCGCTTCTGTCATATTTTTAATCAATTCAATTTTCATTCACTACTGCGCATCAAACGTAGCATTACGCGCGATGGAAATTTCTCGAAATTCTGCATAAATTGTTTTCACATTTAAATGTCAGTAGCAAGCTGTTTATTTTATCTGTGCAGCTCTGAAATATGAATATAACATGCGATTAATTAGCAAGTTTAGTTGCCTAAATATCTTCACAAAGCCATTTTAGTTTTATAGAATTTCTATTTTTTCCAGTAAAACATTCTATAACAATAATTGATTCTTTAATATTCTATGCTGTCAAGACGAATAATACTGAAAGGAACTGAGAAATCCACCGACTTTTAATCTTTTTAAAATAATTTGCGCCGAACATTTATGTATGTTGATCATGCAGTCGATTTTATATTACCGAAACGACAAGAGTTAATTAGTGTAATATTAGAGAGTTATCTCTTTTAGGAGTCGAAAATTGTTGCGTTGATATCAGCTATATTTAAGCCAGGAGGTTTAGATCTCTCGTGCTTCTCAGCGAATTAATAATTTCCGGCGGTAATAAATACAACTGTGCTTATATGCATACAATACACATACACATATTCGCAGCTGTTCAAGTGACTGCGTGTGAATGTACATGTCTCGAGAGAATGCGCGTAGGTACGTATGTGGGAAGTGCTGAGAACGACAAGCAGCTGCAAATTTTCCTTGAATGAAGTAGCGGTTTATCTCACTCTCGCGTCTGTCTCTCGCATCTTGGTTTTTCCACTTATTTTTCTACCCTCGAGAGAGATTCCATCTCCGCGAGTGAGAAATTTTAGCAGCACGCGGGCAAACAAAGCAACTGTCCAAAGAAGTGTTCAATTTACCCTCGCGATTCTTTTTCCATAACACGTAATTCGATCTATGATATGTTGTGTATATAACATTGTAGCACGATGTTACATATATGACAGGACTTTTGCCAATAAATCTTACTGTCATTATTCGCATATTATTATATTATAATTATAAGGTAGTTTAGGAACATTTTTCGACATGTGAAAGAGAGAAAGAGGGAAATCTCTCGACATTTGATTTGGTAACATTATTAAAATTGGGATCTCAAAGCGCTGATAATTATTGTGAAATATCTTTTTTTAGAATCTGAATGAACAAAATTTGATGCAATAATGTAAAGAGAATATCAAAAGTAATTCTACAAAAATTTTGTGATTATTTACTTGTACGCGTTTAAGAAATGGATTTCATGTATGAAAATTATCTAACTTTGTTTATTCATATATAATAGTAACTTTTTATATTTAATTTCAAAAATATTTTATTAAAATAATATCGCGCATATTGTCTCAATATTACATAGAACATTCAAACTTTCTTCAGAGCTCTTTTAATGCAATAAGAAAACAGCTTATACTTTCATAAGTATCAAGCAAATTTATTTTATAAGGTGTTTATGTTTTGCAAAATCTTCACTTTTTTATAAATATAAAATAAAAATAAAAATATCTACTTTAATTTGCGAAACGTTAAAATACTATATATAACCCCAATTGATTTAGAATTATATTATTTTTAGCGTTAGCTCGTTGAGATGTTCCTAAATTATCTTACTGTTTATTCTTTAATCTTATTAATCTTTTTTCATCTTTACATGTTTTCAGCGGAAGAATTGGGAAGCAGTAAATTGAGCACCACATTGCCCACAGCGCCGACTGAGCTCTCGCAATTTCCGAAACTCTGCGAGTTGCGCCGAAAATTCCCGGTTCTGTACCGAGTCGAGTTTCAGGTGAGACCTCGTAAATCCTATTTCCCGTCTACTCATTTAACTTTGGTCACCTTTTGGAAAGGTCGAGGCTCGACCTTTCGCTTCGACAACTTTTACGGCCGCTCTTCACTTCAATACGTTATCGATTATAGGCAATGACAATTAATAGTAATTTATTATATTTTATAATTTCAAGACTCTGCTCATTCCTCTACCCAAACAGCATATAATTATATTTCAAAAAAACATATTCGTGTTATTGTGAACTAAAAAAAATGTCATTCTTTTCTAACAAGACTATATTTTGTGATATAATAATACGCAATCATATCGTAACAGCTTTTTAATGACGTGCGATTATCTTACAAATATCAAAGGTAAATACCGATCATGGGATAAATTTATCTGCTTGTATGTTAATACGAGTATATATAACGGAAGTACGTGACGCAGTCAATCTGTATCCGTAGGTATGTGCAGGTATACTTGCGGATATCACAGAGTACTTGGGGATAGGTAGACAGCCAAGCGACAAAGCGACAAAGCGATTCCCTCTCAGGAGTAGGTCGAGAGAAATCGAGATTCACCATTATATTGGTTTCTCATTAGACTGTCGCCCGATTTGAGACGCAAATTCCGCGGTACGTGAAGATATATATGCTTCATTCCGGCAATTTCAAGCAGATATTCAACGTTGATGATTATAAGCCGCTCTACCGCAAGAATATTGTTAATTTTGCGTCTCGCGCTAACATAACGTTAATATCAAAACGTTTGGCCTGATTGAAATTTAAATATCAAAATTTTGGTTTTGCTGCTTCAGCTTTAAAATTCTTTAAAAGGTTACGTAAATTAAAACGTGTTATTTTTTGTCTTTTTATATAATATAATGTAAATGGAAATTCTTGAAAAATTATCAGAGAAGCATTTTTTAAATTAATTTAATTTTTTTTTAATTACTAAGCGATTTTATTCGCGTTTAAAACACAAAAGAAATTTTTTTCATGGTTAGAAATTTTTAAGTTGAAACACGTATCTTATTGCGGTATTGCCGTGAAAATTCTCCTAGCACAATGTACCTTCTGTTACGAGTCATCATTTCTATTATTATGCAAGTAACATGTAGTGCACATGAGAAATAAGAAAATTCTATGTGGACGACGAGACACAATTGAATTCTTAACTGCACTGCCTTGGAAAGCGAGATACAGCCGTCTGATCTCCATTCTTTGCTTCATATCTCAGCCACAACACGTTCTACCCTGCGTTGCTGTTTCAGGCTGTTTCAGGAGAGACGAGAGGTCTCAGGTAATATTTACATATTTCACCGAGTCGCTCTCACATCCCTCTTCTTCAAAGAGTAAAATCGATTTACATCCTTTGTAGTAAGAAAATACTTGTTCCCCGTGTATGCAGTTTCACTTTTGAGAAAGACGGGTTACCGTTGGACGCCAGGCCTTCGGAGAAGACTATTTTAGCCTTTATATTTTCGCGACGCGAGGAGAGAGATAAGAGAGGGATTCAAAGATATTTTATATTTAGATAAAAAATTTTTGGAAACGGCATCCCCCCCGATAACGAGCTTTGATATTTAAACGCCTTTACGATATAACATCGAAGAGAACGACGAAATATCAGTCGCCTTCTCCAAGACATATCACGTGCTAGTTTAAGCGCGTCTGTGAAAGATCCACCTGACACGCGATGAGCGTCTCCTAAACATGGCAAAATCGAGCAGCTTTTTTTCCCGGCGTTCGCCCCATTGACACGAGAAAGCTCTTAACCCCGCTCTCGTACGGTATGCACGACAAGGCCGGCTCTCGAGCGCAGTTTATACGCCAACGGAGATTATCTCAGGGATATCCGATGTCCTCGCGACGCACGGGTTCCTCCTAATCGCCGAAGTAATCGCGGAGGATATCGACGAGATCCATTTATTTTTTATACAACACCCATTTTCAGCGTTCTCTGCTCCCGAGAAATTTTTGCGTCTCGCCGAAAAAGAAGCTCGTTCTCCTCCGCACCTTTTTTCGCGATAGATGGAAAAGATCCGATGAGCTATTTGCGGATAACGACAACGAAAGGACGAGAGCAAGCAGGGGATGATGAAAATAAAGGGGGCGGACGATGGCAGCCGTTGAATTTTAATCCGGCCGGCGCGACGCAGCGACGCGAAAACCATCTGGGCGTGATTTTTAAATTAAACTCGCCCAGCATTATCGGAAATGAAAGTTCCTGATGTTCGACAAATACTGGCGGATAAAGCATCATACGTATTCATGAAGCGGCGTGTGGAATACGAAAAACTTCCGGGAGCTGCGCATTTACGCGACGCGTGAATTAATTAAATTTTCAATGGCAGAGAGTTGCTAATGGTGACAGTAATAATGGAGATATATTCGGGTCCAATCGACGTGTAAAGTTCAAAATATTCCGCGATCGGAAACGAGATTGATCGAAAAATCGTCCATATATGATGCCCGTCGTTGACGAGGATTTTAAAGAGAGCCGCCGCATAAACGAGCTCGGTGAATTTAAACGTCAAATAATGCGACACGTGCAGTTGCCGCAATTAATTTTTCTCATTTGCCGAATCTTAGACGTCGGACATTCGTCAGACAAACGCCACTGCCAAAGAAAACCACTTTCTGGCTACTGAGAACTTTCACTATGTGTACAATGGTGTATATATCGTGCAAATATTCGCAGCTGCTCACGACGCCAAAAATATGCACCATCTGCCAACGTTCATTCTCGCGATAAAGATTAAATTAACGCGAAATCGTGGCGTTTTTTTTTTAATTCTGACGCGCTTTCTACGGAAAATTGAATTCATCTGTATACATTAATCGCAAAGAAATATACGAGCTTTTCGCGTTATCGCGTTATCGGCTAAAAAAACTTTTTTTCCGATACGGATATTGTGAAACTTTCCGCGGAGTATTGTATTTTCTTTTTTTTATCTTAAGCATGCTTATAGTTAAAGTTCCGTTTAATTAGCTGTCAATTTTATCGCAAGAATATAAAATTTATTAAAGCGCGAAAAGAGAATATTTAATACTCTTCCCTCCTCCCTTCTTTTTTTTATAAAATTTTATACATTTACTAACAAAGATTCTTTGATTTTCTAAATGCTACTCTATACATATATATAGCACCAGGATTTATTCAACATCCGTGCATTCACGTTATTGACGCGTGATACAATGATTCAACAATTCAACATTTCAATTATAATATAGCTAAGAATATCGATGATAAAAAATGGTCCAAGAATGTATGATTAATTATTTCAGCGCGAGCAATGATTATATTCGACGTAAAATATATACATAATCGATTACATATTTTCATACGATAAACAATTTTAATTATAATTTTATCATTTTATTAATTCGCGGATTCTTTTTCGCCACAATTTTACGATTAAATTCTTTATTTCATATTTGTACTTTTATGTTGCAGACAGCGACGAAAGTGGAAACGCATTCGTGCAGACACGCCACAAAGCCCGCGAACAAGGAAAAAAATCAGAATCAAAAGTGTATTCCGTGTAAGTAGTCTTCAATCGAATCTCTTATTACGTCACCGCGAATATTGCCGTTTCCAGGTCCGGAAATGAATCATGTTGATTGCACGCACAATTTGCAGACGTGATGAAATAAAACGTCGATTCGAAATGATGAAAAGCTGCATAACGAGTGTTCGCTCTTGTAATTATCCGCGGACAAGCGAATACGGTTGCAATAACGCAATTCAACGTCTCTAATAAAATTGTAAAACTTGTATGCGTTAAATATAATTGTATAATATACATCGGGTAGAAAGAGATAATTATCATTGCGTTAATAATAACCGTTTCACGAAAGTTTTCGGATTTTCGTTAATTAACTTTCTCACAAGGCGAAAGAAGGTTTATAAGGTTACAAGGCGGTTGCAATTGCCGGTACGGCTGTTCCTTTAACGAGAATTTATTTTCGTCCTAGAATAAGAGGTCTCGCTCCACTTAAGGGCTCTAAAATGTATTTCTCCGTTTCTTTTTATAGACGACTATAATAGGGTAGTATTGGAGACGATAGAGGGCGAGCCTGATTCCGATTACGTTAATGCATCCTATGTAGATGTGAGTATATCACGACATTCGATAATAAGCATGCGAGTATTAATCTTGAGAAGATAAATTAAGCGCGTTCTGTATTTACGTGATCTAATATCGCAACGAAATCATGTCTTTTCTCATGAAAGACGGGGATTCAGCAGATTTGAATTCGCGTCTCTCTCTCTCTCTTTCCTACATGAACTGATTATTCTATCCGCGCGCAAGGTTTAGGCGTATATTAATGATGTAGTGGGCGTGTCGAATTACAGTATGTCGATATTGATGTTGCATTTCAGAGTATACTGAAACCAAATGCTTACATCGTCACTCAGGGACCCATAGAGAACACTGTGACGGAATTCTGGCGGATGGTCTGGCAGGAGCAGGCTTCCTGCATCGTTATGTTGACGAAGACCTTTGACTTCATCAAGGTAAAAGGCCTGATATGAAATGACATTCTTGCGAATAGACAGAATGCAAAGCTCGAAATTATAGTCCATTAAAGTTACTTAACCACGCGAGAAATATGGTTTTACTGGGAGAAACTGTGACGTCGTCTTAATGCTAGCATTAAACTTAAAGTCCATTGTATAAATTCTGCATATCGTCGCTCTCGTCAGGTTTTTCACATCTGCAATTCTCTGTCGCAGGTAATGTGCGTGCAATATTGGCCCGCGAGTAAGGACAAAGACGAAGAATACGGCGGTATCGGTGTTTCTGTGCTAAAAGAGGAGGAACTCGCCAATTTTCACATAAGGACGATAAAGCTCTACAAGAAGAATGAGAACGACGTGAGTCCATTTATCGTTGTCATACGGAATTTTTGCGTTTTACATTATCATACATACGTATCGGATATGATATAAAGCGTAAACGGGGATAAAATTAGAAGGAATATTTTTTTCGACGCACAAGTCCTTCGTTCGAATTAATAACTTTCGACATGCGCAGCAAGAGACTAATGTGTGCGGATACGCAAATACGCAAATAAATTCAATATTTAGACAAGGAAGAATGCAAATATGCGCGATGGAAATCGATCGGCAATTCAACGGATGGCAAAACATTCAGACATTTATACTAGTCGTCGCGCGAATTTGTGTACATACAAGTATACATACAAGTTGAAAAACTCACGATACACGTATCCTGTTATTTTGTCATCGTTGACAAAACGACGACGCAAATTCACCGCGACATGATTCTAAATATCCGAATATATTCGTGTATATGGTAAATAAATCACTGGGATCTACAGAGTGTACGGCATATCAACAAAGATTATCCGGGATGATCCGCGGACGCACGAGGATTCGTTAGGGATTCTTCCCCTTTTTATTGACCGAAAAAGTTTCGCGTTAAACATTCACTAAAAATTCGCGAGTGTGACTCTCTCTGCAACTGAATAATATGGTATTCGGCCCGGCAGCGAATTCCGGATACAAAACTTGTCCCGAAGTAAGGAGATCTCGCCAAATTATCGCCAGAGAGAAACGAGATCGAGAGGAATGTGAGAAACAAAGTTGTCGAAGGAGTTAGCGAAATTAATTGTGTATAGGCAGAGATCGTCGTCATTTCGGGCGTTGCCTGAATGCGAAATGTACGAGCTTATACGATACGGTCGATGCGATAAGTTCGCTCAAAGAGTTATTACGCCAGCGGCTAATTTAATTATGTTTTTATCCGCGAGAGAGGAAAACGAGAAACGACAATTGCGGGGACTTTTTAAAGTCCTCTTTCGAGTCGCCTCGTGCTTTGTGATCTAATTCCCCTACCGGCATCGTTACTTATCTATTCCTTTTCTCGTTCAACTTTTTTTCTGTTAAGTATTCAGAAAATATTCTCTTGCAAACTTTTTAAAGCTGCTCCCCTCGTATTATCGCCAACTGTGTCTTTAAATCTTTGACTTCGTATTCTTTTGTGTCGCACCAGAAAAACTGTTTTTAATTCTTTCAACTGTATTATTTGTGATTTCATTTACACATGGTATAATGTATTTCTTACTTTTTGATTTAATCGTTTAGTTTTATATAAAAAGAAAAATATGTCAAAATATATCAAATATGTGAAAAATGTCTTTAAAAAATGCGATTAAAGATATAATGGAATTGGCTGATAAAAATAAAAAAATGTCGATTAAATTTTCATTCGTATATTATCGTCTATCCAATTATATTTTCAAATCTATTTTCTCAGAATGCTAGCAAATTTTCGTCACTGTTTGATTTTCTCTAAAGATCTAAAATAGCTATAAGCCCGCTTATTCATAACGTACCATTATTGAAAAGAGTATAACTAGACAGGAGCGATCTCATGTCACGAGATAAGTGACACCTCATTAAAGTCCGTCGCCTGTCTCGCGTTTAGCATTTTTCAACGTAAGACTATTAAGTAATGATCCATCTGGAACTACTACGGTGACAGTGCGCGACGATGTCTGTCGAATGGCAGACGCAGAACAATTATTCTCGAAATTCACGAGTTCGAAAATTTAATATAAAGAAAGAGGAAGAGGGAGAGGTAACCTCATTCCGGAAGTAGGAAAGTACTATTAGCTGAGACGTTACAGAATGCCTCGACATGCGACGCGAGCAAGATGCGACTGCAATTGTCGATCTTAAATGTGGCATTGTCAGGATAACAAGAGAGAATCTTGGTCTTCGGAAAAGTAATTTAACGCAGATTTCGGAAAGTGCATGCGTCGCTTCGCTAGTTTATTGAGTGGCGATTCCTTTCACATTTCTTTGATCATAAATTTCAGAGCTTAATCTCACTATTATATATTCAAACAGCTTGCGATGAGATGAAAAAAAAGAGGAAAAGTAGATTGTTAAAGTAATCAATTATAAGAGACACATACGTGTGCGAAATAGAATGGAAATGATACAAATGATTTCAATTTAATTTAATTTTCTAATTTAATTTCATAAAAATGATAAAGATGAGTGAGTAATAAATATTAAATAATGAATAATGAATAAATGATGAATATATAAATAATTGTTATCATAAAAATGATTCGCAGTCGTAATTTGTGTTATATAAACACGTTTTCGCAGGAAATTACGGAAGAAAGGACGTTGTTGCAGTTTCACTACACAGAGTGGCACTCGCATACGTGTCCCTTCGGTAACGCAGTGCTGGAATTTAGACGGCGCGTCCGGGCTGTCGTGGGATCAACCATAAAGAATGAATCCGGACCTATGGTCGTTCACTGCAAGTAAGGGCGCGAGTCGCGATTTATATGCTACAATAAGTAAAAGCAAGCGGCGCGCCTATAAATTTCGCGAATAATAAATTTATCTGTTTTTGATGTACAAAGCGACGGTGGCGGACGATCGGGGGTATATTTAGCGATCGACGCGAATATGGAGCTGGCCGAAGAAGAGGACGCGTTCGATGTGTTTGGTTACTTGAAGAAATTAAGGCAGAGCAGGAGAGGACTCATAGAAAATTTGGTACAATATCAACTTTTGCTCGATATCATGAAAGTTATCATATAAATCGAAAGCTTTTGCACCTCAAAAAAATGACGTAAAAGAATTTACATATAACGCGAATAAATCTATCTTATTTTTAATGAAGCTCCTTGATATAGTTATAATAGTAATAAATAAATTCTATCATTAATTTCTTTTCCAATTTTTTTCTGTTTTTCGGAGATTGGCTAATAATGATATATTACTTTGATATTGCTAACTTATATCTTAGTTTACGCGTTACACAGGAACAGTACAAATTCATTTACGATACGCTCGAGGAATTCGTCGTGTGCGGTGCATCGTGGTTTCCCGTGGCAGAACTGTCGCAGCGCTTGAAGCAGAAAAGCATAAAGAACCCCATAACCAAGATGAACGAGTATCAACGAGAGTACCAGCAGATTTGCAAACAGACGCCGCGCTTCACGATCGGCGATTGCGCCGGTGGGCACAGGGCCGATAACAGAGAAAAAAACAGAGATGTCCTAGTAGTTCCACGTGAGTTTCACGCGACGCAGCTTCTTCTCTCGACTCGCCAAAATAATTTTCCTCTTTTGCTTACAGCGGACAATTTTCGGCCGTATCTGACCAGCTTTCAGGGCAACAGTTTCACGGATTATATAAATGCCGTCTTTGTGGATGTAAGTTATTAAAATATATAAATTTTTAATCCGCCTATTTTTATCATTTATCTCGCGTTGTCAAAAAAGCTGCATTTCTTCGAGGTCGAACTTTTAATGAAATTTCTTAAAGCGCTATGACAATTATATTATTCATTGCAAAAAGAACATCTATTATTTAACATCTATTATTAACGTAAATATAAATTTAAAATCAGGCTTTTATTCAAATTAAAATTGCAAATAGCAATCATTTCAGCTTGATAATCAATAACTGCTAAACGTCGAGAATATATAGAAAGCTCTGCAAACCGATATATATTATATATATTACAATATTTCTCGCGATCCATTTGGCAATCGCGCATTGCCAAGTTTTTCCCCAAAACACTCATTCACTCTCGCTATACCACGCAGGGCTACACGAAACCGAGAGAATATATCGTAACGGAATGGCCCCTTCGACACACGTGCGGCGAATTTTGGTCTTTGGTTTACGACTATGAGTGCGCGGCGGTAGTGGTGCTATGCGTACCGCCTCAGGGATCCACAAATTATCCCAGCTTTTGGCCAGAAGGGAGGCACTCTAAGAAATACGGGCCCGTGTTTACGATCGACCACATCAGCCACAATCATTACACTAACATAAAAACCTGGGTGAGAACCAATCTCCAATCCTTCTTTCGATTCAAAGCTTCGAAAGTTTTCAAAATTTATTTTTGACATTTTTGACAAAGGGAAAATTTATACATGAGGAGCTAAAGATGAAAAAAATAGCTAAATCTTCCTGTTTATAAATTATCAGCGAATTATGTTTCTCAGGTTTTTAGGATAAACAAGAAGATCGTCTCATTGACGGAACTCATGGCGGGGGTGAAAGCGCCGCCGAAGACCGTGCAATTGTTCCAATTGACCTGTTGGCCAATGGGCCACAAAGTACCCACCTCCACAAATAGTTTAGTGGAGCTCATGAATATGGTCGAGAGATGGAGGCAACGAACGGACTACGGACCGGTGGCTGTGGTATCGCCCGATGGTAGAAGCCGTTGCGGTGTCTATTGTGCGGCCAATGCGTGCATAGAACAGGTCATTCAGCACGGGGAGGTTGACATTTTCCAGGCTGTCAAAACTGTGCGCAGGCATAGGCCTCAACTTGTGGAAAATATGGTATGTATTTTCCTTTAAATTACAATAATATTGTATTATAATAATATTATATTATAATAATATTATATTATAATATTAATATATATTTAATGTATATTTTTTCTTCATCTAATCTAGATAATAGCTGAGTATTTTTTTAAATGATATTATGTTTAACTTTATAAATTTATGTATGTGTGTGTGTAAAAATTTCTAAATCTATTTTGTTTCTATCTTTGGTACTTAAAATTTTTTCATGTTTCTAATTTACGACATGTCGGTTTTGGAGATTAATTTCTTAGATTTCATTTATATCCATTATTATATCCATATATCCATTATTATAAGAAATCATTTGTTAAAAAATTCAAAATAATATTATTAAAATTATAATACCATCTGATAAGAAGCACACACAATCTCTAAATAAATATAAAATAAAATTGTATGTTGATTTTACTATCACCAACATACAAGTCCTCTAATATTGATTAATATAATAAAATATTTTTCTTTCTCTCTGTTTATAAAAGAGAACCTTAAATAAATTTCAAATAAAAAGGTAAGATACTGCTATAAAAGGATATTTGTGTAACATTTAATTCTAGACGGAATACAAGTATTGTTACGACCTGGTCCTGCACTACGTGCTGCACTATTTAAACAAAGATATGAACGAGAAGAAGTGAGAAAGCGAGTTGAGGGACGAGCTATGGTTCATCGAATTCGGTCGGGGCGCAGCGCTGCCGCTGACCCCGGAGGAGGCACCGGCGGACGGGGAACCGGTCGTGCCCTGCGCCCAAGGTCGCGTCATTATCGAAATGGCGAGGCCGGCGCCACCACACTTCGCTACCTGTTCCACTTATCGCAGACCGCTCCTCAGCCGCATGTCAAACGAGGTGTCGATCAGCGATGGAACGATACCATCGTCGAGCGGCACCGACCAGAGTCAGCAGGAGCAGGAGCAGCAGCATCAGAAGATCGGCGGCAAGGGCGCCGTCAGTAAGGGCACGACGACACCGCAAAGTCCCGCCGCGAGGCCGGATGATCTCAGCGTGACGCCCTGGTACCTGGAAGATAATCCGACGGACACATCACCGGGGCCGATGGGTGACAGGAGCTCGTATCCCTTGTATTCGCACGCCGACGGCGGCAGGCCGGATCTCAATTCGACGAGGAACAGCAGCATCGAGGGCGAATTACCAAGGCCGGCGGTGCCCGTTCCCCGGCGGGCCTGCATGGATTTGAAGGCCGCGATGGCACTGCTGGACGAGACCTGCCCGAACGTGGAACCAAGTCCGTCTCTCACCCCGAAAACACCCAGGACGCCGCTCACGCCGTACACGTCGCGTAGCAAGAGGGCCCGCTCCAAGAGCAGCGACAACTCTTCCAACTATAGCAACGATCGGCTGAGCGATCGCTCGTTCGAAACCCTCAAGGACAAGGATAAGGATAAGAAGAGGCCGTTCTTGTGGAAGATCGGCATCTCCAAAACGGAGGATCGGCCGTTCCTGGCGAAGCTGACGCCAAGAATTATTGGCAAACCTTACTTGGAGAAGATCGGGCCCAGCAGGGCCGTTGAAAGACCGTTTTTGGACAAGATCGGTTCATCCAAGACCTTGGATAAATTTATTTTCGACACGCCGCGTAATGAACGCAGAAACGACGTCAGAAATGACAGAAAGACGAACGACACGACAGTGAAAAATCACACCGGGATGAGGAATGATGTTAAGAAGCACAATTCTACGTTTCTCACTTATTTTTCTTCTCGCAATTTCTTCAAAATTATAATAAAATTTTTATTCTTTAAAATTTAAGTAGAATGTGTTTATTATCAGAGAAATATAAAAATTTATTATAAGAGAAATATAAAAAATTGTAAGAAATATAAGAAATTATAAGAGAAATATAAAAAATTGTTTATTAAACAATTATTATAAATTACTATTACGGCGTACATATATATTGAAAGGATTAAACGAATTCGTGAAAAATCACACCGGGATGAGGAATGATGTTAAGAAGCACAATATGGAGGAGATGATCGCCACTAAGGAAAACATCGAAAATACTGTTCAAAAAGTAGTACTCGTTACCTCTCATTCAGAAGAGGTACAATGCAAGCCTTTGGAGACCTCGGCGACCCATGAGAGAAGGCGTTCGGGTAAAGAGTTCCTGTTAAAGATGTATTCATTCGAGACGGAGGACTTGGAATCCACCGTTCCGGTAAAGGACCCTTTACGCGATTCGTTCCTGGACAACGTAGTGAATTCAGGTCCGAGCTCGTTACCGATAGAAAACAGCAGCGAACACACGATATCGAGACCAGAATTGGAGAATCGGCCAACCAGCGTAACTGCCGAGTTGTTAAAATGCCGAGTGACCACCAGCGAGGAGATCATATCTTCGTCTACGTGCTTGAATTCGTCAAGCGACGCCAATAGCTGGAACAATTTGCCGCGAAGAGCGCAGCGCGGGAAGAAGGAATCGGCCTTAATTCGACGCAAGATTTTTCAAGGTTCCAGCGAAATCGTTCGTAGCGACGACAGCACGCCGAATTCGCCGACGAAGAGGCCTATCTCGAGCGTCTCTCCCGATCGTGAGTTTCGAAACATCATCTCGGAGAGAGGAATTCTCTCTCCGACGAAGACCAGGAGATCGATCGTCGAGGATACCAGGCGGATCGAGAATACGCGCAGATCGATCAAGTACAATCAGTTCGAGAGACGAGGCATTTCCTCGGATAATCTTCTGGCAAAGGACGCTCTCTCATTTGTCACTGCCTCGCAAACTATAATCGATGACATCGGGAGAACGCGGGAAATTTCGTCGGAGGATTCGCTGGCAACGCGTCGGAGCGAGTATACGAAGGAAACGTTCAAGCAACTGCAGGACAAATTCAAGCTGCAGGAGATACCTATGGAGAGTTACGCGGCTTTCAAACGGCGCACTCGAGCCGCTCAAGGCGCTTTGAGTCGACACGACAGGCTGAATCTGCTACCAGCGGAATCCGACATAATCTTGAAGAGCGCGTCCGGGATGGAAGATGTTGCAGCGGCTGATACAAACACGATCGAAACTGCCGTGGAGAAACGAGATTGGAGTCAAAAGAGCACAATGAGATCCATTCTGAGAAAGCAGCAAGAGATCGATCATCTTAGTGATCACGAATCAGACACGAACACGTCCATCAGACGACCGAAGAGACGAATCTTTCACGAACCGTCGCAGGAAACCATGGATCTACTGACAGAACTGCGCAAAGTGAAGAGCTTGCTAAAAACTCCGTCCTGGGAGAAGGATCTGGATCTTGATCAAAAGCCAAGGCAGATGCCAAAGCGCATTTTGTTGACGGACAAGGAATTCTGCCTCTCGGTGGAACGAGAGAACAGCGTACGACGACCATCGAGAATGATCAATTCGTTGGAGACCACGGAGGAAGGCAAGGTTACGTCGAATCGCGAGAATAAAGAAGACAAGGAAAATCAGTCGAATAGCGAGAATCGAAAATCACCCGGGCCGGCTCTGTTCGAGAAGAGATGTCTGTCATTGGATTACGCCGATGAGGAGAAGCCTCAGAAACCGGAAGCTCGAGCGATCTCCTTGGCGTCTACGAGGGACCTGCCGTTCGAAACCGAGGAGACCGATGACTATCCCGATTTGATGCTAATCTGCGACTCGAAGAGCTGTTCTTCAGACGTCTTCAATTCTCCATCCGAGGAGATAGATAGAAAAGTCGGCGAATTAATATCGGAGATGGAACAGCCAAAGAAGCCTAGCCAGAATCACTACGCCGAGGTGGACATCGCTATTCCGACCGATCAGAGGATCAACAGTTCCAAAGGCGAAGACATTCAAGAGCGGACCAGCGATCTCTACGAGATTATATCCCCTCGATCGACGCCGTTCCGCGTTAAGAAGCGACTCGGAAAAATCTCCGTCGAGGAGACCGTCAAGCCGGAAAATTTCACCCTCGGTTCTAAGGTCGACTGCCGATCGGTCGTTGCCCAGAAACGAACAAAGTGTGTCCCCTTATAACGCACGTCGACCTGCCCGTGGGCGAAATTCTCTCTGCGACGGCGCCAATTATCGTGCTCGTACCGTGAGAAAAATGGATACAGGTGCGCAAATAATTATTTGTATTAAGTTAATTATATTTCACTTTAATCCTTTCGGTATTGTGTATTAGATACGAGTGATTGAATATATCGAATACAAATATTGGGTCTTTAACAAGATATTATACACAATTTTTATTTTTTTATTTGGAGTATTTAATAATTTTTAATATTTTTAAAAATAATTCTATATTTATCTTTTTTCGATACGAGCATGGCATTCCTTTATGTTGCTTCTGAGATTAAACGAATTGATAATTAAAACCTTGTCAATAAATCGCTTAGATGAAGAAAGTGTCGTGATGTATTCGCGTTGCACGCGAATATTTTTCTGATGGTGCTTGTCTTAAAATGACTTTGTACATTAATGCTTTTAGTTAGTTAGTCAAAATTAGTCGTGTAGATGAACGGAAATAGAGATTTACCTATACTCTTCGTAAAAACGGTTATAATAATGGCACTTGCTGAATACAACCTTCTAGCTTATCGAAATTTTTCTTGCCACATTTTTTGCGTAATTTTTCGGACAATGTTATATAAGATACAATAAATATGGAAAGAATGATAAAAAGTAAAAGCTGTGGAAGGAAAAAATTTAAAAGCATAGCGATATACGTTTAGCAAACGCCATTATTTCGCATAATATAAAGCCAGATTATTGCGATAGATGAAACGGGATCACAGAATAATCTCTTTGATCGAGATGTTATTAATATTAATATTCTATTAGTCAAGTGGAACGATGTCCTCTCGAAAGTAAATAACAAACTTCAATTATGCGACTTTCGGATAACAGAGAGAAATATGAAGAAAGAAAAGAACAGTTTACCAGCTTTATAAGCAAAATCTGTCCAGTCTAGAGCCATAAACCCCCGGAGTTTTCGACGCAACGAGTGCTTGTTGGAACGTGCGAGAGAGCTCCTACCGAAATATTCTAAAGCGCACCCCGACCATTTTTTACTCGATCTTTTCGAGAAAGCCCGATGCGGCAACAAAGACTCTACACTCGCTGGTGCGCAAGAACGAAGGATTTCCGGTGAAAAACCCTTCTGTTGAGCAGAGAGTGCCTTGTATGTGGATATATATTATTTAAACAGAGAGAAAGAGAGAGAGAGAGAGACAGTGAGAACGCAACAAAAAATATGCAAAGAAGTCCTAATCGACGATTTAATTCCGACTGCGCGCCGGATTTTCTGAATGGGTCCACGGAGTCGCGCTCTCGTCGAACAATACATCGCAATTTTTTCGTTCTTACGAAACATGATCTATTCTCATAGAATTGCAAAAAGGGATCAGACAAAGCCTTCGAATTTCTACATACATATATGTGAATATGCGTGTGATTATTTATAATTTTCTGACGATCTATCGTATCTTCTATAACTCGCCTTTGAGAGATATCGATGAAATTTAGATCGGGAAAGGCTTATAAAAAAAGATCTTTCGGTGTGAGATACAGGAAGAGATCGGCGAATTCGCGAGAATGCGACTCCCACGCAGATGCGTCCGCCTGCCACGCCTGCTCTTTGTTCGGCGCGGCAAATATAATAACATTTTAACGGCATAAAATTTATAGAAGTAAATGATACAAATTTAATCGCGTTCCTCTTATAATTTTCTAGCGTTATAGATAGGGTCGACAACGCACTAAAATTGATTATGCGGAAAGTACATTTAAATATGTAGATAGATATATAAACATATATATATATATATAAAATACAGTATATATAAAATACGTATTACAGTTAATTTTTTGGTGAAATATTTGTGCAATACTCTTAATAATGTCGATGCAGATACATTTTCGCTCCATAGATTATAAGTATTAGTATTTTCTTATATTGATAGAGTACTCTAATAACTATTAATGTTAGTACTTTCATAAATATTTATAATAAAAAGCGGAAGCGCCCTAACTCTTTCCTTTTCCTATCAAGCAAAAAATGACAGGCGTTTATGCTTTCAACAACTTTCTAAAAACCAGTTTATAGAGCCCTAAGCTCCCTTAAATAATAAAATCAACACGTTTTATCTCAAGCCGTGGAATATTAAACGCTTTCGAAATTCGAGTTCCTTCGCAAGAAGTGTGAAAATATTTGAGGAACAATTAAATGCATCTGAACCGATATTATATAAAGAAAACGCACACGCATCTGGTAAATATTAGAGATTAAAATGCGAATGTATATATATATATATATACATATATACAAGTGTGCATTCCTAGCCAGATGTAATTATACAAATTCAATAGTTGATGAGATGTGTGTGCCAAAGAAAAATACGATTTATTGTATGTTATGAAATTACTTTTATATACACATTACATATATACATATATATATATATGTTTGTGTGGATGCGAGTGTGGGAGTGTATGTATGTATGCGTCTCTGTGTGCGTTCGTTCGTCTGCACGTAGATATAAACGCATGTGCGAATTTAGTATACGCGTGTTATGGCTAGGAATTTACCGTCTGTATATACCGATTTGGATATGTGGCACAAGTGTGCACGCGAGAAAGATCACGATTCGTTCTACTTCGGAAAACTGAAGACTTTATTTAATTAATTCGAGATAAAAAGTGCGACTATTAATATTCTTATCGTAACTTGATATTTCTTTATTTTAACGCATTTATATTTTATATAATTAACGTTTAGTAATGCCTTTTCCTTCTTTCTACGTCTTACCTTATCATTAGATATAGCAATATTTTATGAAGTATAAATTACATAAATGTGCGTATCGTTTTTTAATTTATGATTCGTTTTCTATATTTTTTGTTTGCGCCCCTCTCTCTTTTCCCATATTTATGAAATATATTTTATGTTTTGATTACTTTAATCTTCTAACTTTAATTTTCTAGTTTTTGCTACAATTTTTTAGGATCAGTAAAATTTATTTTTATTAACAACAATCGCAATTCAACCGCTCATCATCACTTGAATCAATAATCGAATTAAACGTATCGTGATCTTCCTTTAATCGTAGACCGCAATAGTATTGTATATATAGTATTTTCGGCCAGGGCAATCTAAGACACATGGTGAGACAGGGTTCGCATTGTAATCTCGGAGGGCAAAACTCGTCCACTCTTCTTGTGAATTTAATAAAAAATTCCCCCACGCGCGTATACCGCGGCAGCCATCCGTCCACCCTTTCGGCTGTCCATGCAAAAGGTGAATGCAAAAGATGCGCGATTATGGCAGTGTTAATGTTCCGATACGAAACTCTTTGGTTCTCGCGGGCGAGATTTAGTATTCAAATGTACACAGCGTTTATTAGTTGCTGTCGTTGCGATTGTTAGAAAGTTAGAAGCATAATCGTTCTAAGCACAAGAGGAGAGCTTCTCTCTTGTGGATAACTTTTTCTTAAAAGGTTTGATTATATTTAAACACGAATATTTTACTGTTGATTCAAAAATGTAATGATTGAAGATATATTCTATACATATATACATGTATAACTTTGTTTCTATATGTATGTATATATATATATATATATAAAACTCTGTTTTAATCGAGGTAAAAAAAGAAGCCGTTGTATCGGTGACTATTACGCAAAAAAAAGTTTAAGTATTATTAAATTGAAAGAATCAATAGATTATGAATGCAAAACAAAAAAAAAATAACAATTTCGCCAAAGAATAAAAAAAAATTAATTAATACTTGAATTATATTCTTGAAACTTTGCGATCTGAAATATCACACATTGAAATTGTTTTTGCAAAAGTGCATATAGCTTCCGTCTATTTCTAGAGGATTCAATCTTCTCTCCTTGTTTATTCCCTCCCAAAAAAATATATTGAACTATGTTATAGATAACGTAAACAGCAAGATAATACAATGGCGTTAATTAATTTTTGTTTACGCGTCACGTTGAACGTGCCACGCTATAATACATATATTGTATAATACACAAGCACAGGTACACACATGATAAAACATATGAGTATATGGATGTAGATGTGTGAATATACGCGACACATAAGTATTTCTATATGTGATGGGCGTTTGCCACATACATGTCAATAAAATTCATATTGTAAGAAGCCATCAAATTTGCCATCACGATAAACATAATAAGCCGATGAATACGAACGTGCGAAACGAAAAATCTAACGGCCTTTATCATCGAGATCGCCGCGCCTCGTGTTTTTGCCAAAATATGTGAAGCGATTATATTGATTAGTTATTTCTAGAAATATAAATATATATTATTAGCGCGCATGGCTTTTACAGACTTCACTAAACGTTATCAAATATAAACAAATCAAATATAATTTACAATAAATCATGAATTTCAGCAAGATACATAATTTTTCGTAAAAATTACAGAGAGAGATTATTTTTTATTCTACTTTTTCTTTTTATTAAAGATTTTTTTTGAAAAAGAAAACTTCCGGAATATTATTTGTTATTATTTCTTTTATTATTATGATGAATATATTATTCTAATTTATATATTATTATTATTATTATATTTTACAATATTGCTTTTACATTCATGAAAGTGTATGTGTCTATATTTATATATTTGTTTATATATATAAGGTGTTTTAGACATACACATATACATATATATAATTACTGTATATTATTTTAGAGGCAGAGAGCCTTCTTGTTCTGTGAAATTGAAGTATTCGATTTCAGCAATTTTTGAATCAAAGAAAAATTTCCAATTTCTATTATTGGATGTTACATTAATGTAGGAATAACGCAAATAATTGACATTAAAAATTTTTATGATTAGATATTTAAAAAATTAAAATTTTTTTTTATGCAAGGTCCATTTACAAAATGTATTTGTTAACATAAAAAAATTTAGCAAATTCTATATTTATTAATAATGGTTTTTATAATTTATAATCTATATTTATATATATACTATCGTTAATTGTTCAAAAATGATTTTTACTTCAAATTGTTCAAAAAATTTATCTCTAAAATATTGTTACGTGATTTTCAAATATCTTATGTATATTAATCCACCTCCACACAAAATATTTACACAATATTGTAACTGCGTTTTGGAAACTGCCGTATTCAGTATATTATATGTAACTGCAGTTATTATTATTTTTCATTTCAAAATCTTTTAAAAGATGCTTTTCATATAAAATTTTCAATCGTTATTCACGTTATTCACGCTGCCGTATGAGGGGGAGGGAAGGGAAGGGATTTAGATCGATGTAAATCAATTCTATTTCTCTCTTTTTCTCTCTTACATTCGCAGCATCGCGATTCAAAATTAATAAAAAGATTTCATGAGACTCACCCTACGATGCGTAGATAATCGGGTCCACTGCTTAATAAAGAGATTTCCTCGGATGATGCGACTGTATCGATGCGATAGTATCGTATCTCCATGTTGCTTGGGAAGACGGCAATCTCGAAACGCAGCTGCGAGATCTACGCAAATATATGTAAATTATTCATACCAAATACTAACACATCGATGTTACCATCGTTGAAATTACATACCAAAGATTACTCGACTCATCATTGAAAAGAATCACGAAAACGAGACACGTCTGTCGCGCGGCGATCCTCGTCCTGTTGCACTTCGAATAGTACGTTAAAGGCGCGAAATTCGCGGCGGATGATCGTGAAGTCGCGCTAGTTTGTATCGATCTGAAACGCGAACCGCGTCCCCCCCCCCCCCCGCAGCACGATCACGCGCGGTTTTTTAAAACAGTGTGATAAGCGATCTACTATTAAATAAAATATAATGTGGTACATTTTACGTAACATTGGTACATTGTTGTAAATAATAAATAGATTGTACGTTGTATATTACACAATTCGTACATTGGTCTCCTTCTAAGAGATATCTTAAGTATTTAAAGATTTTTCAATTAATATAACATATAATTTATCAAGAGAGCCTCTTCGATATATTAGTACAATCGTTGTTCATAAAAATTATTAAATAACTCTTGCCATTTATTTACCTGATTATTTACATTCAAATTGTTTTATATATGTATATATATAAAGTGAACTTTAGATATAAATAATATAAAGTGGACTTTTTGTGTAAATAAGTTCTTAAAAATAATTTAGAGCAAATTCCCTATTCATTAAAATAAATAAATGTGTAAAATTGTTTTATACGCAAATATAAATATGTAATTTACTTTTACCTATTTGTACGCAGTGAAGTGCACAATGACTTGAACTGATCTGAATGGATATAGATAAACATCAAGCGAAGCTACGTGATCTTTCGAGGATGCGTTCAAAAATCTTACCTATAGATAAAGTACTCTTTTATTGACCAATCAGGATGAAAGTAACCAAGATTTCTTTATCCCAATTGGTCAATTCAATGTTACTCTATGTGTAAGATTTACGAACGCATCCCGAGAATGTTTCGTCTTTCTGTTTCATTGAAATCCATGATTAATGACAAAAGGTTCGAATGCCACCAGTTATCAGCAACACCGACGATAATATACAATTTGTACACATACATACGCTATACATACGTTCGCCGTATGATAATACGATTGCTCGTAGATCAGCTGCTCGCCGTTCCGGGATATTGCGAGCGTGGCACGTGCACTTCATGGATTGGCTATAATCATTGATGCATCTTCTTCGTAGCTGAAATAATTTTTTTATAAAACTCGCGGAAAAAGGTACGTAAAGAGTCTCACAGCGAGAGCTCGGCGGTTTTGTCAGGTTATCGGCGAGATTAGAGAATACACATTGTAATAACATTACTTGTCAATAATTATGGGATGCGGCACGTATGTATTTCATTTGACATTTTATATGTCAGATGTGATCGCCACGTGTATCAAAATGTAATTGACAGCGAGTTTCAGTGAAGATTTATCGTGCAAAATTTTATTAACAAAGCGGTTCCTTTTTTTTCATTTAGAAACGTGTCTATTCGTTTAGAATCTATCGTTTTATTAATAAATGGGATTGTAATATAGTTGGTAACTTATTTTTTCCTAATGTTGCAGATGGGGATGCTCATATTTTTGTATATGCTCTTGTTATGCTCCACTCAACTTGGAGCTGACAAAAAGACTAACAAATATGTGACAACTTTAATAAATGCTAAATGGGATGAGACACCTCTCGTTCTCGAAGCAGCTGAATATCTTAGCGATGAAAATCCAAATTACTTTTGGAAATTTATCGATGCATATTCCAGAAAAATTAGTGATCTTGTAATAGGTAATTATGTGGTTTTAATTTAATTGATTTGGTGAAGTACATACTCTCAAGATGATCATTTTTTTTCAATCTCTGTAATTTACTCCAAACAGCTACAGAAAAGGAAAGTTATGACTTAATTCTGGAACTGGCTAAAAAATATTTATCTGAATCAGAAATAGCAGTTTTTAAGTTAGGATTGTCCTTACGTATTTATTCCGCACGTGTTGAAATGTTTTCTCAAATGGCTGTGAATAAAAATGTTTCTTTGTATGGATGTAACAATGTTGTTAACATTGGTGGAACATTTACTTGTTCTCTAAAAGATATAGATAGGTTACTACTAGAGCAGGTTGGTAATTTATAATTTTCAATCTCTCGTTTCTACTGATAATTGTTAGGATATATATCATTATGCTCTGTTTACTTTACAGAATACATGGGAAACTGCAGATACCTATGATGTAGACCACCGATACTTGGATACTTCAGAATCTGATAAGATAATCATACTATATGGTCAGATTGGGACTCCTACATTCATTGATTTCCATGAAAAGCTAAAAAACATAGCAGAAACAAAGAAGATCAATTATATTCTTCGTCATTATGTGAAGGTAACAATAGAAATAGAAATATGTTATAGACATTTATAACATATTGCAAAATAATTGCATTTTTCATATTAAAACCAATTTACAGGATAGAACAGATAAGAAATTGCGTTTATCAGGGTATGGTGTAGAGTTGCAAATGAAGTCTACAGAATACAAAGCGACAGACGATTCTGATATCAAAGATAACACAGGAAAGAGCTCAGAAGAGGAAAATGATGGCATGGAAGAAACTGAAGGAATCAACTTCATGATTTTAAAGTAAGGTGGTTAGTAAAGATGTAAAGTATTCACTTTTTGTATCTTTCTGTATAGCATTTTGCATTACATTACTATGATATAATATATCATCTTTCTAGAACATTATATCCAGATCAACAAGCCAAACTGGATAAAATACAAATGCATTTATTGGAAAGTAGTCACGAGATCGGAGCTTTCAAGGTATGGCGGTTTCAAGAATTGAGTCATCAGGCAGCTGAAAGGATTATGAATTCTCCTTCTGCAGAAGCACTAAATGTCTTGACCGATATATCGCAAAATTTTCCTATGCAGGTATTTATTTTAAATCTCGAATTCTAAACACATGATTTAAAATGACATATGATTAAATACATATATACATGATTTAATAGGTATATAACAATTTATTTATGTTTGTATCTCTCCTCATAGGCCAAATCTTTAATTAGAACTAAGGTGAATAGTGATATGAAGAAGGAAATGAAACTGAATCAGGAAATATTTATGGCAAGTCTAAATATACAACCAACTGACACGGCGCTTTTCATCAATGGCTTATTTTTTGATTTGGAAGCTATTGATGTACTAACTCTTTTAGAGTCTTTGAGAAGCGAGTTACGAGTAATGGAAGCTCTTCATAAAATTGGTACGAGAGCTATATATTTGTATATATCAGTTAAATATTTTATTAATATATTACCAAATCAATGATTATATCCTTACAAATTATTACAGGCTTTAGTAACAAAAAAATGAGTAAATTGTTAGCACTGGATTTATCTGGAGGAACAGATAATCAAAATTTTGCAATGGATATAAGGGATTCCGCGATCAATTGGATTAACGATATTGAAAATGATTCACGTTACAGTAAATGGTCACGGTCATTAACAGAGTTATTACGACCAACTTTCCCTGGCATGCTCAGAAATATCAGAAGAAATTTGTATAATTTAGTTAGTATTACTAAATTTTAAATGATAATGATTAATATTTTGTTTCAAATACTTACCTATCTTTTTTTGTAGGTATTAATTATCGATCCCTTAAGTGAAGATTCCATGTCGTTAATAGCTCTAGCGCAATCTCTTTATGCACATTCTGCTCCACTGAGAGTCGGATTTGTCTTCGTGACGAATTATAATACATCTGTAACAGGTTTAACAGATGCTAGTGTTGCAGTTAACAATGCATATCACTATTTTGCAGAAAATAAAAATCCTAAGGAGGCTTTACATTTCTTATCAGAGGTAAAACTTCATATCATTTTATATGTTGATGTCAATATCCATATCAAGACGAAAGATAAAATTTATTTTTATTTTAGTTAGGAAATTACATTGGACATGGTGCTGACATAGACGATATAAAAAAAGTTATCAGATCCAAAGATTCGTCCGCTAGTATACCTTATATCCTCGGGGAAGAGTCTGAATATGACGTGGGACGGCATTTAGCCAGCGATTTCATAAAACGATGTGGTTTCAAGAAATTCCCACAAGCTCTATTGAATGGTGTACCTTTGACGCCCAGTCAGATTAACTACGAATCATACGAGGAAGCAGTACTATCTACCATTATGTCGCAAACACCCACATTGCAAAAAGCGGTATATCGCGGTGAAGTAACGGAAGGGGATGATGTCGTTGATTTTCTCATGAATCAACCATATGTTATGCCACGGTAAATATAGCTCTTAATTAATTCTCTATAAGTTACTATAATAAATTTATGTTCACTTTTATTACTTATTACATTCATTTCACTTTTTATTTCGCTTTCTAGCTTGAACGAGCGTATTTTAAAAGTGGACAAGAATGCATGGCTAAATTTAATTGGTACGATTCCTGAAGATGAGGATTATACAAAGTGGAGTTCTCAAGATCTATCGACTTATTTAATGAAGAAAATGCATTACTTCTTCGTACCACGACGCAGTAGCGTGCATCACTTACATTCCTTTTGGATTGTAGCTGATTTGAGATCGTCGTCTGGTAGACAATTACTACGAGAGGCGCTTGAATATGTAGTATGTGATTTAAAAGTCAAGCTTTATATAATCTCGTATGTATTTTCATAGAAAATATAAAACTCTTATATTTTTCTATAGGAATCAAATACCGATGCACGAATTAGTATTATCGTTAATGCGGAAAGTAATGTAAATTCAAAGTCTGATATTAACAAAATTATTCTTGCTGCGTTAAATGCATTATCACCAGAAAGAGCTATACTTTACACACGTAAAGTAATCAGAGAAGATAATGCAGCTCTCATTGCCGATGGTAGTTTTGAGATTGAAGTAAGAAATGTATTTTTGTAAATGATGTATACATATTATTGGAAATTATTTCGCGTTCATAACTCTACTTTATTTCAGGACGAATCTGTGGCGGCGTTGTTGGAAAATCAAAATCCAATATTATTGTTACATCAACATTATATTAAAAATGTCTTAAACTTGGAAACTGGAGCGAGAGCAGTTTTGTGCAACGGCCGTATTATTGGCCCCTTGGATAGCGGCGAAGAATTTACAAGCGAAGACTTCTCTTTATTAGAAAGATTTAGCCAAAGCACTTATGGAGATAAACTATTTATGAAATTGATCAAGGACCGAATCTTTAATGAAGATGAATATGGTATGATAATATGATATATACGATATGTATTACTTGTAATATTTTTTTCAATTACCACGATAGAAATAATAAATTGTTTATGATATTTTTCTAGAAGAAGAAAATAACATTACGGATGATATGATTATGAAGATCACTTCACTTTTAGTACCACGTCCTCAAACTCGAAATCGATACGACGTTCCTTTCCATGGGGATGATCACAGGTAAAATAATTTCTAAAATATATATAAATCAAAAATTTGGAATTTATACACAACATATATGAAACTCTGAGTATTGATATTATATGCAAGAATGGTTATTTTTATTTTGCAGTGTCATAAAAATTCCAACTGCCGATCCCGATAAAGTGGCCTTCAACTTTATCGCCATTGTAGATCCGGTTTCACGCGGTGCTCAAAAATTAGGCCCAATATTGAAAACAGTACAGCAAGCCTTAAACTGTAATATAAAAGTATTCTTGAATTGCTTGGACAAGAATAGCGATATGCCATTAAAGAGGTAAAGTAATATACTTTATTTTCCTCATAATTCTTTTTCTTAAATTAGGATGATATATATTTTTTTTATAATATATTCTTTTGTTTCATTCCCCAGCTTTTATCGATTTGTGCTTGAACCTGAGCTACAATTCACAACCGAAGGAGATATCAGTGGCTCTATCGCGAAGTTCACAAAACTTCCCACTTCTTCATTATTAACGCAATACATTCATGCTCCTGAAAATTGGCTAGTAGAAGTAGTCCGCAGTGTTTATGATCTTGATAACATTAAGCTGGATAACGTCGCAATCGGCGTACATAGGTAAAAGAATCGAAATACACAAAATATGATTTTCTTATTCCAATTTCGTTGACTTTTATATGTATATTGTTTTAGTGAATTTGAATTGGAATATTTGCTGCTCGAAGGCCATTGTTTCGAAGCAGTAATGGGAAATCCACCGAGAGGCCTTCAATTCACATTAGGCACCGAGAAACAACCCGTGATGGTTGACACTATAGTAATGGCGAATTTGGGATACTTCCAGCTCAAGGCAAATCCTGGCGAATGGGTACTACGACTTCGACAGGGAAGATCCGCGGAAATATACGACTTCACCACGGTCGACGGACAGGATGTTATTCAAAACGGCAATGATGTGAAAGTTCTGATAAGTTCTCTGAGAAGCCACGTGCTAAAAATCAAGGTATCCAAGAAGCCAGACAAGGCGGGAGTCGATCTCTTATCGGACGACGAGAAGGATTCCGGATTGTGGAACTCCATTTCTAGGTATGTCTAACTCACTCGAACTATTTTTATATTCCACATTTCCTAATGTTGGGTGTTAGTACATAATGCATAGCATGGTATTCTCGGTTATCTTTGAACTTAACTTTTATTTGTTCTCTCTTTTTTAGCATTGCCAAATTTTGGTAAGCTTCTCATTATGTAGTTAAGTACATCTATCATTTTCTATAAATATATATAAATAAGTATCAAATAACAAGAGATCCAGGATAAAATATATCTGCATTACAAAAACGAACATATCTGTGGCTTGAAATTATAACATTTGATTAATCAATGATCTTAATATACTAAAACTTTATTATATTAATTCATTTACATTAGCTTTAATTCCAAGTCACCAATATGTATTCTTGTCTTCCGCCTGCTGCCCTATTAATTAACTTAAAATATCACTCTCTCCTTTGATAATGTAGCCCATATTAATTTAAATATCTAATCGCGATTGATATCAAATAGCTAAACTGTTACTAATATTTGATATGTCTTATATGTTTTGATGTACTTTCAAAACTAGGACATTTACTGCAGACGAAAGTGAAGACCAAGATGAGAAGTTAAATATCTTCTCTCTCGCTTCTGGCCACTTATACGAAAGATTCTTGAAGATCATGATGCTAAGTGTTATTAAACACACCAAGACGCCGGTGAAGTTCTGGTTCTTAAAGAATTACCTATCACCGACTGTAAAAGTAAGTGGCTATGACATATAGTAGAGTGAAACATGTATATTATTTTGCTCTAAATAATGCTAGTTACGAAAATAACTATTAAAATTTTTTTCATGATGTAGGATTTTTTGCCGCATATGGCTAAAGAATATGGTTTTGAATACGAACTTGTGCAATACAAATGGCCTCGTTGGCTTCATCAACAAACCGAGAAACAAAGAACTATTTGGGGATATAAGATCTTATTCCTCGACGTGTTGTTCCCATTGAACGTTAAAAAAATAATATTTGTCGATGCTGATCAGGTATACATAATATAAGTACAATTAAAAATGTAATGATATAGATATTAGTTGTGTTAAATTGCTTTATGTAATTGTTTTTATACAGGTGGTAAGAGCAGATTTGAAGGAATTAGCAAATTTGGATCTCGGCGGCGCGCCATATGCATATACGCCGTTTTGTGATAGTAGAACTGAAATGGATGGATTTCGGTTTTGGAAACAAGGATATTGGAGAAATCACTTGCAGGGACGAGCTTATCACATCAGCGCATTATATATGGTGGATCTCAAACGGTTCCGTCGCATCGCAGCCGGAGATAGGTTACGAGGACAGTATCAAGCGTTGAGTCAAGATCCAAACAGCTTGTCAAATCTTGATCAGGTACGTAAAATGAATGTTTTTAGTATTTATAAAGATATAAAGAGAAAATAATAGATTATATTTTTTGTTAATTATCTCAAGATATCGTGTTTTCTTTTTTTCTTTTTTTTTTTTTTTTTTTGAAATTTGATTATTTTTTTTTTTTTTTTTTTTTTTTTTTTTTTTTTTTTTTTGCATTTGAAAAATAATCGATAATCAATTTTAGGATCTCCCAAATAATATGATACATCAAGTGGCCATCAAAACATTACCACAGGAGTGGCTGTGGTGTGAAACGTGGTGTGATGATGCATCCAAACGATACGCTAAAACCATAGATTTAGTATGTATTTTTATTTATATGTATATCATGATGATGAATTGTAATATTTTGATTATAATATTCACCCTCCCCCCCAAAACAAAATTTATTTTTTTTCTTTTTAGTGTAATAATCCAATGACTAAAGAAGCCAAATTACAAGCAGCCATGCGTATTTTGCCCGAATGGGTGGGTTATGACGAAGAAATTAAAGCTCTACAGCAGAAAATAGAAAATGCAAACAGACAAACGGAAAAAGATAGCGGTAAGTTTATATATATATATACATAATTTTTCGTAAAAATTACAGAGAGAGATTATTTTTTATTCTACTTTTTCTTTTTATTAAAGATTTTTTTTGAAAAAGAAAACTTCCGGAATATTATTTGTTATTATTTCTTTTATTATTATGATGAATATATTATTCTAATTTATATATTATTATTATTATTATATTTTACAATATTGCTTTTACATTCATGAAAGTGTATGTGTCTATATTTATATATTTGTTTATATATATAAGAGAGGTGTTTTAGACATACACATATACATATATATAATTACTGTATATTATTTTAGAGGCAGAGAGCCTTCTTGTTCTGTGAAATTGAAGTATTCGATTTCAGCAATTTTTGAATCAAAGAAAAATTTCCAATTTCTATTATTGGATGTTACATTAATGTAGGAATAACGCAAATAATTGACATTAAAAATTTTTATGATTAGATATTTAAAAAATTAAAATTTTTTTTTATGCAAGGTCCATTTACAAAATGTATTTGTTAACATAAAAAATTT